GAGATCCGCAAGGAGCTGAAGATCAAAGAAGGTGCAGAGAACCTGCGAAAGGTAAAATCACTAAATTTGTATAAATTAGTTTCTTTTTAAAGGGGTACTTTGGCCATTTAGTCACTTCCATGAAGCTGAGTTACTCATAAGGAAAGTCCTCAAAAACACTACATCCTGCATTTCCCATAATGCAACTGATAGCATATTTTATTAGACCCTTTCTGCCAGATTGTAGTCTCCAAGGCAGAGCTGACAAAGACAAGTAGTAGGACTTCCCATGACTAGTAAAGTAATGTTTATGATTAAAATTGAAATCTTTGTTATGAGATTTATTCTGAAAAAAAATCTCAAGTCTCCTCCACTCTCCTCTCCTCAGGTCACCACAGACAAGAAGAGCCTGGCTTATGTTGACAACATGCTGAAAAAATCTAACAAGAAGGTTGAGGAGCTTCACCAGGAGCTGCAAGAGCTCAACGCCCACATTGTGGTCAAAGACCCCGAAGAACTGCTAGGTAACAGAAACACGACAGCAAAGTAGCCCCAGAGGATTTAATAAACATTAACATAAACTAACGCTATACTATACTCACCTTCGGTACAAATATCAAGTAAAACCTTATTTATATAGCACATTTCTTTATCTGGACACTATATGTGGATAGTGTCCAGATAAAACATTAGACATAAGTAAACACAATTAAAACACTCATAAAAAGTATGTGTAATGGGAGTTAAAAAACATTTTCGAAAGTTGTGCCATAAGTTTATCTTGGATTTTGTCCAGGCACAATGTGACAAAACTGCAATCGACTTCTCTTCCAAACACTATCGTTATCTCATTCATCAAATGCAAAGTATTGCTCAGTAAATCATTTTGGCAGTGATGTGTCAGAACAGCACCTATATGAACACACAGACACACAGAGCGCGCTCAGTGTTCGGAGGTGACTCACTCTCCAGAGGCTGACATTGTTGCATTCCACATTCCTCCGACAGCTACAATGAGCCGTCGATTGTTCCCCTCTGAGGCTGTTGAAAGCCTGCTCCTGTGCGTTTGGCGACAACAATGAAATTCGGACAGAGTTAACCACAACAGCGGTGATGCGTTCAGTATAGTTTTGTTACAGCGGTCGCCTTGTGCAGTATTTGTTGGTGGCGAGTGTCCGGGTGAATTCAGGAAGAGACGCAGTGGTATTTGTCTTGCCTGTTACCATCACATCCCCCTGGGTCAGTTGACATTAGGAAGTAGATGAGGAGGGATGTGTGCGTGTTGGGGGAGGGAAGGGAGGTTGTCTTGGTAAATGGTTATCTTAAGTGGGAACAAATTTAGCCTGACTCAGTGACTCTATCTGATGAACGAGGGCTTTCTTTTTAAGTGACGAGATGGTAGCGGAATGTCGCTGGCCATCGCAAAATGATGGAGAGGGGACTGAGGGTATCTCAGCTCTGCAGATTAGCTCTCGAATCCGCAAGAGACGGCACTTGTTTCCTGAATTAGTAGGAAGGAGTTGCTCTGCCTCTGTGAGCAGCCACAATGTGTTTTTGTTCCAGGAGAAAGTTGAGGGGGCTCTGGTTATTCTCCGCCACTCAGCTGAATCCAGAAATGGACCGACTCGCTCTCAGGGAAGGGGTCTGGACACAGCAGCAGCTCTGACACAGGGTCACCAGTCAGGTTCCTCTGTCACATATTGTCTCATTCATAAAGAGACTTGCCCGAAAATCAGCAGTTTCCTCCCTGACTACAAGTCCAGTCTGTTTTCCATGCAGTCATCGTATCACATCTCCAGTGACATGCCCCCACAGCAGTTTTAGGTCCAGTTCTCCAAATGGTGATGTAATTGTTTAGAAAGTATTGTTAGCAGGTTTCCCGTTGCCTTCTCGCCTTCTCATCAGATGCAGATGGGGTTAATCTGAGGGAGGGTTCCCCTTGTCAGCTGTCCAGCAGTGACATCAGCCCTAGAGCTATTCAGTAGCTCAATATCTTGTCCTCGGGCCCAGCGTGGGCTGAACCACGCTGAGAAGGAGGGAGGGGGGGCCTTGAATTCTTGGCTCAAACTGACTTTGACCAAACCGCGCCCCCCCACGCAGAGAGGAAAGCCCCGAACGTAAAGTGGATGACATACGCTGTACTTTTGCACGTGTGCCTTGGTCATTTTCACAAACGACTTTCTCATGACAGCAACTTAACGTGATCTTAATGTAGTCACTGTGACTCTTATTATGCAATGTGGATTTACTAAACACTAAAGTCGGTTTGGCCCCAAGCCCCTGTTAAATTGTCACCTTGCTCCTTTTTTTTTTTACAGGTCTGTGGTTTCTACAAGTGCCCACTCTGTTATTCCCATCTAGTCGTCCCTCTCTCACTGTCTGTGTGTGTCTGTATACAAGAGGGTTGCCCTGGGAAGGCTAACATCCTCCCCTGCTGCCCTTTAACAGAAACCTCAGCAGTGATGGTCTCTCAGCTTATTAAGGCTCATTAGATGAATCATTTAGACTTTTAGTTCAAAGAATCACATGCTTCCTTTTTGCTTATATCCCGCAGGTGTTCAAAGGAATCTGTTAGACACTGTTTTGATGAAACATTCAGAGTGAATGAATCACAGACCTGCCTGCTGGTTATTGTTATCTGTGTTTGGCAGCGTCTTCCAGAGTAACTGATTTTTCTAACTGCTGTTATTTTAAGTAATGTCGGGTTCACTTAGATGGACTCAGGACACCTTCAGGGAAATCAGTTTGTAATATCTTGGAGTATTTGTATGTTGTTTCATGGGACTTGAAAAAGAAGAGAAGAGAATTGAGTTAAAAGATTCCCAGTTATAAACATTACAGGCCACTGTTTTGTTGCATTGTTTCTGTGTGGCAACTCTAAGTGTAATCTTTACGGACCTTTCTAACAGGAGTTCCTCTATGACACCATACGCTCTGAAACTGAACTTGCAAGTCAAGTCAGGAGAAGTCAGGCAGGTTTTTTTGCCCACCTCACGTGTGTGTGTGTGTGTTTTGCACTGTGTTGCCGTGATCAGTCTGGGGAGGGGTTTCCACTGAACCTTCGAGTCCAGACATGACAAAAAAACACAACAAAACACTGAGCTCATCGCCCAGAACTGTGGTCCAGCTCAGGGGATAGAAGACGCTTATTTTCATTTTCACTTTGTGTGTGTGTGTGTG